AAATGTAAACAAAATTCCACAAAAAGCAAATTTAGAAATCAGTGTGGATGACCAAATATAGATGATCCTGAGAAACAAGGTCATACCTCTGGACTTTTTCCAATTTGACTCTATGCTCGACTCCCCTCCTCTGATATTGCACTTCTATATCCTCCTTCACCCTTCGCCGATTCTCCAGGTCATCCTGAAGTTTTGCTATCTCAATCCTCAGCTCACTGACCTCTTCCCGCCTGGCACTCTCTTCCGTCTGAGCGCGGGCTGCCAAGGCATCATAACGCTCCAGCTCTTTGTCCCTCTCCTCCAACACACGTAGATTATACTTGAAGTCATCCCGCAAGCGGAGGAAACGCTCTCTCTGGGTGGACAGCTCTGATGTGGCTTCGTTTAGAGCGGTCTCCAATTGTCGAATCCGCAAAGCCTGAAGTTCTTTCCATTCTCTTTCTTTTCAAGCCAGCTGGGCCTCCAGGTCCACAGCTTCCTGCATGGTTACGAAGCAGATGTTGAACAACAGGGCACTGAAACACTTGACATCCTGTTAAGCAAATCTGTAGACACAAGAAGTGATTACAAAGTGCTCATCAGAACAAGTTTATAAGTAAACATGATAAATGAAACCCTACACATCATATAAAGCCATAAATTGGTTAAAAAGGCATCTGATAATGGCATGTATTTTAAGTTGTATCCTTCGTGATCAGCTAAAAGTTCAGCTAACGTTACAAGAAGAACATAAGTCCTTATGGCCAAAATACTGAACTGTCATAGTGGCTGGGAAAAGTTTTTAGCGATAGTTCATATTAAAACAAGAAGTACAACTTCATAAAAACAAGCTATTTTAAACAATTTCAACAGAATTAGAACTATTTCATTCAATAAAATTGTTACTCACCTTCACGTGTATATCAGCCCAAGAATTAATGAAGAGGCAAGTATTTACTTCGGTTAGTTTGCACAGCGAATATTGTTTTATTTTATGTTCTTGTCATAAGTACAGATGACCGGAACTGTGTAAAAGTCAAAATACACAGCAGCTGCTCCCCAAGGGAGTTGCTGAATATGTCTAAAATAGTTTGCATTCAACGTTTAGGTTAGCTAAGCTAACTAGCTCAGGCATAGCAGGAGTTCTAGCTCGGCGCCGCCACAACTATCGTCTCAGGTTACTTGTGTAACCATGGTTCCCTGAGTAGGGAACGAGACACTGCGTCCTCTAGGGGGCGCTATGGGGAACGCCTCGTCGTGACCCATGTCTGAAGCATACATTGAAAAAATACCAACTCGTTGGCCGGCGACAGCCATGACGTCACTACCGGTGCGACTATAGTATAAATAGGCGCCGGGAGCACACATCATTCACTTTTTCGTCTGAAGCTTGCGTCCGCAGCATGGCAAGAAACCTAGAGGACGCAGTGTCTCGTTCCCTACTCAGGGAACCATGGTTACACAAGTAACCTGAGACGTTCCCTTTCATGGGAACTTCGAACTGCGTCCTCTAGGGGGCGCTATGGGGATCACAATGCACGCAGATTGCCCCCTCGAGGACATCGCGTGCGTGCTCTTCGCCCAAACAAATAACACATAGAACGTGTGTGTCATCTGGTGTAAAATAGCGATGACACGGATGCACACACCTTCTAAATGCTCCGCTAGTGCTCGCCATAATAAATAGAGATAACTCTTACTTTTTCCTTGGAATGCACGCTTCAAACAGAACAGTCAATGAAGACGAAGAAGAGAATGATGTGTGCTCCCGGCGCCTATTTATACTATAGTCGCACCGGTAGTGACGTCATGGCTGTCGCCGGCCAACGAGTTGGTGTTTTTTCAATGTATGCTTCAGACACGGGTCACGACGAGGCGTTCCCCATAGCGCCCCCTAGAGGACGCAGTTCGAAGTTCCCATGAAAGGGAACCATATTGCTATGGTAACAAAGGGCGTCTGCAGCAACATCCGTTTCTATGGTTTGCCTGACGAATGAGTTCCCGTTTTTTTTATTTACGTTACAACTGAGCGTCATTTGCTTACTTTGAAAGGCGGAAATTGTGAGTTCACTTCTGATTAAGCTCTATTTCTGGCATGACTATTATTTCCCGCTATAAAAGCATCACGCTTATCGTAAAGTTATAAAACGTTTCCGAGACCTTTGTTTGAAAAGAAATATTAAATAATTATGGATTCATAAATAAGAAATAGTATTGTATTTTTGAATTGTATATTTGGTTAAGTTACGTAACGTTATACTAAATGTTTCTGACAAAGTACTACAAAGGACGTTTTGCCCTACAGACTCTGGCACGTCTGTCAGGCGTACATTGTGTACCTCCCTGCCAGAAGTATAAGACAAGTTGAAACTAGTGAAAACGTGATACAACATTTCCTGCGGCTTACAAAACTGTACAAAAGCGACTGACGCAAAGGGAAATACGACACCTGATTCACGTGGTTTCTACCTGCATGCTGTCACGTTCTAACTTGTATCTGTACTTAGTGTATAAATTATTCATTTTATATCATTTATTAATAAGAATGTAGCATGTAAATCATTTATTAGTCTTATTAAGATGGATGCTACAACTTCCCGATTAAACAAAATGTTCCTCTTTTCAGTTTTTTGTAATATCTGCCTGTATGTTTTACACTCATTCACTACTCAGAGCTCTCTACAAAAGCAACATAAGCACAAACAATTTATCTAAAGACGTGTTTTGAGTTGTTGATAAATTACGGAATTGCAAGGAAGTGTCATCACCCTGTTATGCAACTCTTCCATTTTACCCTGAGTCACTATGATGTGTGCCATAACCA